CGGCATTCCATTTATTCTGGAAATGGTCTCTTAAGCAATGGCCTGAGTTGGCACAGATGGTGGAAGAAATGAGTTAAGAAACTCCAAAATGGATCCAGAACCATTAATTTCCAACAATTCCCAAACTTTATCTTTAAAAAAGTAATTGTGTACTACAAAGGAAAAGGTTTTATTTAAATATTAAGCTTTGCCTAGTGTACACAATAAATGAAGTAGTTTTCTATGAAGAATCAAAAACCTGCAAGAGGAATGAGGAAAGGGTGAGGAAAGAAGTAAAATAGGTTTTGAATCAGGCAGCTCTTTTGCCAAGAAGAGCTAAGACTTGTAACCTCTGAATTCAGGCAGAAGAGCTAACAAGTCATATCCTCTTCAACTCTGAATAAATAGGCCAGAAAAAGAAGGCAGCACTAGATACAGATGGTACTTCTAAGACAAAAAGATGATAATGTGATTAAATACATACGAGTAGAAAATAAAACACAAGAAGAAAGTGTTAACATAGGCTGCAGTTGTCAAGAAGGAGGCTTGCTAACAATTTACCTCATCGTCACTGTGTTTTATGATCGGCAGATAAAAGAATGGACTCCCATGCTCCTTTGGTAGTATGGAGTTAACTCCTGATGCATGGGGACCTATAAGTTGTTCATTGGCACTGAGGTCATCAGCTAGTGAAACAAACGTGCAAAGAATGACATAGTTTTATATCAAAGGATATTAATATATAGAGGCAAAGTTGTAATAAAGTCCTACCCATATTTCACAGTACATTTAATTCTGATTAGTTTAATTACAACGCTATATTTTGAAGACTATTTCAGCATACAAAAGAAGGGAAGTAAAACCAGGCTAAGACTCAGCCTGAACACATTCTCACATAACCTAAACAAAATTCAAAACTATTTCTAGGTATTCATAACATACACTTACCCAGTCAGAAAAACTCTGATTTATCCACTTGCCAGCCTATCTCATCTCTCAGTTAAATCACTTCTGAAGTATCAGGAAATCTTTAAATTGAGAATAGCAGTTCTGGCTGCATTAGGCTTTTAGCTAAACAAAAATTAAGTTGTGCAATGATCCATCAATCTAAATATCCTATTTGGTCTTCTGTCTGCTAATCTCAGTGGTGATAATGAAAAAACAAAAACATTTCTTGTGAGCTCAGATAATTTTCCAAAAGCAGCTTTAAAGCAGGTATTAATGTGTTGCTGATATAAACGTAGCCCACTGGTAGCCCACTGAAGTGCTGGGCATGACAAGGCCTGTGGATCCTCCTGAACAGTCCTTAATGTGATGCTAACTCTAGTCCTCTTGTTTACAGTGTATCTATGCCCTAAGAATATTTACCAATAGTCTTCTCACATGTAAAACTAAATACCCTCAAAAGGAGAACATTTAGATTCTCTAACAAAACGCTCATTACAGTCCTAACACACTCTTCATTAAACTAGCTGTTTAAGATTCGACGGATACCTCAGTGGAAGGAGGTCTGGAAGCGTTGGGAGATTCTCCATCAGTGCTTTAATGACAAGTTAATTTGTACAGCAAAACATACACAGGATTTTGTTCTGCTGTTTGACTTAAACTAAGCCTGCTCTCTTACACTATTTTCTGCTGTACAGCCTATCTCTGTACTCATATGTTCCCTGATTTTTATCTTTAAAATAGTTGTGCTTAATTATTCCACCATACAGAATCAGAAGAAAAAACATTTTACCAGCCATACCAGACAGTGCCATTGCCAGGACTTGTTTGATTTCTTAAGACATTTCAGATTCATTCTTCCATTTATCAATGTATTGATCCAAACAATCCCTGCCACCCAAGTTTCTTAATCAGCTGTTACAACATACCATTCAAATCAAGGAAGAGGACGGGTATATGTGTTTCCATTCCTGCAGGTGGAATCCTGAAACGAACCAAACTACTGTCAACAAGGAAGGCAAATTCACACCTAAGCTAATTTGGGAAAACAGAGATCTATGCAAGATTCATATTAACTGTAACCAATAACTAAAGCTGTCAACATTTTTATAACTAACTTGAATGCTTATGTTGCACAGACAATATTTTGTTTATCTACACATGCAGGTAAATGTAGTGCTTTACCAAAGCTTAATTCACACTGCACAGCATATTTGAATTGCTGTGAGGATGACAGTTTTAAACATTCTGTTCTGTTTCTTAAGAATTTATCTGGTTGTAGTCATCTCATACATAAAGGCTATCAACCTTTCAAACAACTGGATATGTAACTACTGGCAAGGAACAGTCTTTATATCAATAAATAAGCTTTTTGCTGTATGACCACAGCACACTTCAGGTGGATAAGGGAAAAAAAATAGTGAGGAAAGATTATCACTACATCTTTCACCCAATAAAGAAGATATGTTAGGTATTATCACAGACATCAGTGTACACTTGATTAGAGCCATGTTTCTTGTCCACACTTTCCCAAAGCTAACACGTTGCATTCCTCATTTTTGCATGTCAGATCCATGATCTTAGATGAAACGCAAATTTAAATGAAATCAAATGAGAAAAGTGAGCACATACTTTAAAATCAGAATTTCTTCCCTCTCCATCCTTGTCAATGAAATTATCACATGTTCTACTATTCATTTTTGAACCACTCCTTTTTCGAAAGGAGTCAAACTACAGGATAATCGTCTCAGAATTTTGAAAAAGTGTTAAATTCAAAGGTGATTTTCAAACCTTGAAAGTTATCTCAAAGCTACTTCATCTAATAGGTTAACTAAGTAAACCTTTCTTACATTCAAACCTGACCACCTAGCATTCTGCCAGCTGAGTGTAATTGGTAGCATTACAGGAAAACAGAGAAAGCTCTAAAATATCCTCAGATTTTTACCTTGTAGTGTGCAATGCTCATGCAGAAAAAGCTAACCACTCCAATGGTTTTTCTGAACGTACCAATTTGCGGGGGCACCGGGAATTCCACTGCCTGGTGCTGGAACAAACACTGCATTCCTCTCTTCTGTCAGCCCTACCCACTGCTCAACCAGCCGGGCTTCTCGTTCTATATCATCTTCAGATTTTTCTACAGTGAAAGAGAATAACATTGTACACGAAATACACTTCTTGTGGCATAGGGAATAAAGTACTTATAATATGGGCTTCAAGCTTCAAACCTCGTTTATTGCTGATCTTTTGAATCTGCTCATCCAAGTATTCTCTGCGTTTTATCAATGCATCAGACCACCTTTCTCGTACACAGTTTAAATCTTCTTCCTAACATGGAAAGAGAAAAGAAAGTTTTAGACTATGTGGTTGAGATTAAAGGGCAGTGGATTTTGTGATAATTATTTCATCAGAATTGGTAATTGAACAGCTTGCATGATGCAGAAAACTTTTTTCCCCGAATGACATGCACACTGATTAAGTACCTTATCACCCATGAATGGAAGCTTATTCGCTTTCAAGTCTCAAATTCCAACAGGAGGAAAAGAAAATGTGACTGCCTCAGTTGCTGAACAGAATTATACGCCATAGGCTAATTACTCCCAGAAGTGGCAATCAGATTTTTTAATAGCATATGGAATAGGAAAACCAGAAATCATCGGTTGATCGTAAGTTCTCCTGAAGATTAGACAGGTCAGTACGCCCTCAAACCTGCACAAAATTCCATTGCTAGCAGCTGCTATCAGTGCAATTAAAAGATTTCTCATGCAAACAAAACCCATCATGCAATCATGCTTTGTGATATCACAGAAAATCTGGTTCATTCTTCTCTGTGATAAGTCAGGAAGCGCATAAACAGCCCGCAAGAAGTTAGTACCTAACTGGTATCTTTGGGATTGCTGTAAAACCTAATACATTATCCTAAGGGATGTCAGCACTCTCATCTAACTGGTTTTACTTCTGTAAAGCTGCTTACTAGAAATAAGACTTCCATGTAGAGATCTGCAATGTTTTGCTTTCTCAGGCATGTCCTCTTTTGCCCATCATCACCTTTTAAATGATTCTCCTGATGCTTTCTAAGTGATCGTCCCATATTTACTTATCACACAAAAAGCCAGGCTCAAGGTTTGTTTTTGTGTAGATAAAAATACTGCTTCACTGAAGCTTCTGTATTCCCCCCACTTGCACCCTCCCCTCTCTCTCCCAGTAGCCTTCAGAAAACTGCACAACTTAAAAGGCTACGATGTTTTCTTTAGAAAACAAACAAAAAACCCTGCGCTCTGCAATTTGGTTGGGAAAGATGCCTGCAACTGCAGGTGGTTGTTCTTTTCCCCAGGATATTCACTGGAAACTGTTTTCATTCTAAATGAAAGTTTCTAGGTTTTTATTCACATAGCAATTCGTGTAGCCAGTTAGGAGAGCTGACTGCGGAGTACTAGAGAAGAGAGCACACTGCAGGAGTGTGAAGTCACAAGGTAAACTGAAATAGCAGTGGTTTATAGCCCAGGTAGCCTCCTAAATGCACAGCATATATATATTTCAAAGCCGCTTTTGCTTGCTCCAGTATGCTTGTTCATTTGAAAGTTGCTGGCTATTAGCATTAGCTGTGCCCCATGCCACAGGATTGACAGCAACAGCAGCAATACCTGGTAACTATCCATATCACCACCATCATCCTCCTCCTTCTGGTAGGAGAAAATAAATTTTGTAAAACACAAAAGAACATGCATTTCTCTTAACAGAAACTCACAGAAATATCCTGAAACATGAATACTAACATTTCTGCCACAAACAAACTTGTAAAATGTTAAAATTACAACACTCAAATAACCAAAGTCTTATTAACAGATAGAAACAGCTTTTTTTTTTCATTACAGACTATAGCATCTCAGCCATGATTTGAGTATTAGTGCAAATATTTACAAAAAAAATTATCATAGAATACAGAGCCAGAAAAAGGACTGAGCAAGCATATCACCAATCCTCATGTTTTACAGTTTCATCTGTATTTAAGGTTATAATTACTGTGGTTCTGAACGCAACCCTTCTGACAAAAGGCACCTTGAGTCCCTGGGTGGTCCATTCCTCTTGCTCTCTGCCATTGCTGTTAAAAGCCTGCTTTAATTCCAGTACAATTTTTTCCAGTATCAGCTTGAAGCCATTTATACTTAAGAACTTTTTCTGCTTAACGAAATAGCTCTTTCGTATTCAGCGATGTCTATTTCTGACTCTGATCAAGTAACAGCTCAGTCCTTTTCAAAATGATAAACAGTATGTTCAATATAAGATTTTCTCTATTCACTTTTTTTTTCTCCCTCCTCAACTTTTACCATCCTTGTAAGGCAGGGAAACTAATGGAGCTAGGAATCTACTATTGATTACATCTACATACAAAGGTAAAAACAATTTCCACATTGCTGCTGTCTTGTGTATACTCAAATACCAAACTTAGCTCTTTCAGTTATACACTGAGTTATAAGCAGATTTAGTACCATATGCTCACATTATACATATTAGCCTCAAACACATGTAAAACTGCAAAATTACGTATCGTGTATCAGTGTGCTAAGGTCCCTATGGAACTCTGTTAGGCTGGCTCTAGAACACGAAAACAAATCCCCAAAAATAAAACAACACATGAAAAAGTAACTGTCTTACCTGGTAGCTGTCCAAGCCCCTTTGCAGTTTGGTTGATCTGGCAGTCACACCACCTACAGAGACTGAAAGAATTGCTTCTACCATGAGAGGCAGCGTTCCTGAATGTTGTACAGGTTTCACTGTCACCTGAACTCTGCGAGAATGACCCTGACCAGGTAATTGAAAGATAGAAAGAAAGAGAGGGAGAGAGAAAAACGGAGAGAAACTAAGAATAAAATTAAGAATCAACTTAAGCATGAATAAGACAACAGGGGAAAGATACGTACCTGCCTAAGCTGGAAAATCCCCCCTGTGTTTACATCTTTTGCCTGATGGAGTTCAACTGCAGTATATTCTCCCATCTCATTCAATTCTTGTATGGAAATCCACATTTCTATTCTTCGAGTTACTTCATTCCACCTAAAAAGACATCCCCACAAAAACTAATGGTTGCCTCACCAAAGTACATTTTGTGCATAACAAATACCAGAAAGCCTTTGGAAAGCTGCTGGACGCATTCATGTCTAATTTATTTGTACCTGTCTCTCAGTGTCCTAGTTTTAGCATGAAGAGAATCAACTTCCCAAACAGAACTGCCATTGCCCGTGCATCTGTGACCCCACACCTCAATAGCAAGAGCTCCTTCTGAAATGAACTCCAAAAACTCCTCTGTGACATTCACTACATAGTCCTGGTAACGAGAAAAAGAAATCACATCCAGTCAAATGAAATCATTGTATCTCCTCAACTAGTTTGTAAGGACACACTAAACAACTGACTACCTGCATGGTAAAACCATAGTTTGGATCATAAAGCTCAACTCTGGTCAAGAAAGTTGTGAAACTTAGGATCTCAGCAATTCCTGCTTCTGTATACTGCATTTCATGCTTTTAAAATTTCCATTAAAATGATGTCACAGGTCCAATTTTAAGTTACTGAACTTACCAAAAAGTATATAAGATGATGTCATTATTTGAAGTACAGTTCCTCCCTTGCATTAAAGATGACATCTGAATTTAAAATATCACTAATTAAAATACTTTTTCGTTTCGCTGCATTTTGAAGAGTTGATGAAGTGATTATGGCATTCTAAAGTACAGTCAAAAGTCATTAGTTATATGAGCTGATTCCCTCCTCCTTCCCCCAGCAAAACAAGGTTCAGATTCTAAATAGCTTATCTTAAACATATGATCCGCCTGATCACACTATTTTGTAATAAAAATAGTTACCTTACAGTGAGAGAATGTCACTGTAAAATGAGCATCCTTGCTCTGAGGTGAAGGCACATCTGGATCTACCACTGGTGCTGCTACTGTTGACTCGCATTGATCCCAAAACGTATATTGACAAAAGACAAAGTTGGAGAGATTAGGTGGCAGTCCGGTTGCTTCTTTTATTTTTACCTGAGGAGACAGATGTTCTCATAAATATGACTCCTTCAATTGTAAATTGTTCAAAAACGAAATATTTGGTACTAAATCCAAAAGTACCAACAGCCAAGAAGAATTTTTAAAGGACACTTCCAATTGCTTTCTAGGGACAACCCTATTTAGGAAATCTATATTTTGCATATACAGAAATGCAGATGCAAGGAAAGCAGCTACATGCATCTAACTAGCCCACCCATGTACATGTTTTCTTTGAGAAAGCTGATAAACTCAAGCAGAGAACGAAGCATTTCATCACAGAAGAAATTTAGATGATGCAACAAACCATAGGAAATGGTTAAATGGA